GCCTCTGTGCCCTCAATTCGGCTCATTTCCGCTCCCCAGGGTGAAGGCAGTAGCTTGACTGGTCTCCTGTCACGGGTCCTGCCTTCCATTCCACATGGGAGTGAAGCGGTCTTTTTAAAACATACACCTACGTCTTTTCATGAGACAGCCTATCGGTGACTTGCTGTGACCTTTAGAACTTTAAAAATGTAGCCACTGTGGCTTCCGTCCTGTTCCTCCAGCTCATTCCAGCCTCTAGGCCTCTGCTGCTTCTCTCCCCCAGAATTCAGCCTAAATGACCCCCTGCCACGGCCTCCGAGGTTACTCTCACCCTCTGTCTCCTTCCCAGGCTTTCCCAGCCTGAAATCGCTTTGTTCAGAGGTCTCTGAGCTGAGGGGGTGTGTGGAGGGGGGGCTTCTCCCCTGCTCTTCCCAGTGCCTGATGCACTTCTTCTGCACATTGTGTGTTCAAGCTGCCTAAGGGCTTCTGGAAGGTTCTCCAGGTGCAGATGAGGGAGGCTGGCTCTCTAGGAGGCACCCGTGCTCTCAGTGCAGAATGAGGACCTCGGCTTAAGCCTTTTACCATATGTACAGTTTGTCCAGTGCTGTGACCTGTCACTTCCCGGGAGCCTGCCCCATGCTGGGGATGGGTCCCCTGATCCCTGGCCTGGTCCCTGTGCATTGTCCCCAGTGCCTGTGGTGCTGTGCTGGCTCCTCCCTGATGATTGCTCTCTCTCTCCCAGGACAGAGATCTCGGCCAGCGGCCAGCGCGGGCACAGGAGCCTGAGCCCCGAGAGAACTCTGTGTGGAAACAGGAACTGTACAGAGACCCCAAACTCTGACTGCCTTCAGAAAAAAAGAAAGAAAAGAAAAAAATTTTTTAGCTTTGACAAACACAAAAGTGGTAATAAAATAAAAAGAGAGCCCTCCTTCTCAACCCAAAATGTGAGCCCCCTGTGGCAACTCCCATCCCATTAACAAACCAACAGACAAAATTCTCCGAGTCTTTGCCTTTTTTGATAACATGTTATTCTGTTTTGTAAAGTGTGTGTGCTTGGGGTTCCGAGGTGTGTGGGATTGAGTTCTTGGCTTTGTTTTTTAAGATATTATATGTAAATGTAAAAAGTTATTTAAATATATATATTTTAAAGAACCCTAACTGCCAACTTTTGCTGAAAAAAAATCACTGCTGCATTAATTGAACCACATCATGTGTAGATACTGTTGTCTCCCTGGAGGGAGTTCAGGCCTTTGAAAAGCTCAGGGCTACACCTGCCTTAGAAAATGAACCAGAAACTTGAAGTAAAGCTAGTCGATATGGGTACAAACTCTGAGGAACAATGCAATGTGCCTCTTTCTCATGGCAAATCCCAGTGTACAAAATTTCAGGTCTTCTCAGAAGCCATGCTTCTCCGGCCTAGCCTGTGCCTGATGGGCGCAGCTAGGAACAGGGTAGACGGTCTACAGCACCGGGGAGCTGGGGACAAGCCATTGCTTCATTAGTCCCTGGGTGACAGGGACAGTTCTGCCCAGTGTCCACAGTCTGTTCCCTAGAATCGTCCTAAGGCAAAGGAGAGAGTTCGCAGTCGTGATCGTGGGCTTCCTGCCATGGGCTGCAGAAGGGGTTCGATGGGGTGGATGGGGACAGACACTCAGGAGGAATGTAGTTTGCAGCTTCAGTGTCTGAGAGACTGGGGGCCCGAGGGTGCACCGGAACTGCTGCATCCTTGAGCTGCCTTCCCGGGGGCCCTTGGCCAGGACCCATCGGGTCGGCACCACGCTCCCTTTGAACGATACATTTCCCGTCCCAGTTCCCACGGAAGCCCTGTTTCAGGGTTCTTCAGCGCTCTGCTCCCAGCTGAAGTCCCTCATCTCGCCTGCACATGTCTACTATCCTTTCTACCTAATGCACTATTGCGTGTCGATTCTCCATGAGACTGAGAGAGAGAGAGACTATCAGATAGTTTAGACCCAAAGGGCAAGTTTTTGTATATGTTTCCAGCCTTTGGTGGGTTTTTTTGTCTTTTTGTTTTGTTTTGTTTTGTTTTTGAGAGAGGGAGAGTTTAAAAACCCAAACCATTTTTTAAGGACGTTTCCATTGCAAAAGGGAGAATCTATTTAAAGGTATTTCAGATCAGGGATTGTCCATCCTTTTTGTCCAATGTATTTCTTGTTCTTAAAGGAGAAACTAATCACATTAGCCCCATGTTTACTAACTCTTCTGGTCATTTTTGTTTATTCAGATAATGTGCCACCTGAAAAGCTCCTGTTTGTGAAACAGGAGCCCCAGGAGCTGATCCCCTGTAGGTGGCGAAATAGCGACCACCCCGGGCTGCCCGGAGACCGGACCCGGTCTTCTGCAGCGAGGCTCCAGGTGGTCAGCCCAGGGTCCAGACCAGAATGTTATGAATGAGACTCTCACTGTATCGGAATCCTTTTTTCTTAAAAACCGCAGCCTGTGATGAGGAAATTGACTTAATTCTAGCCAGGATTTGACAGAAGGAAATTCCAGTGTCAGATGATTGAGCCATTTGCCATTTAGGAACTCACCCGCTTGCCACTGGGTAAGATTTGTCCTCTAGCCTCTAAGGTGCAGTCCCTGGGAGTTGCTCCCCCGGGCCTGTGCGCAGCACACTGTTGGCGAGGGTGTGAGAAGCGCCTAAGCTGTTGACGTGTGATCTGGGCTGCCTTGATTTCTCAGACCAGATCTAACCAGCAGCTGCCAAGGACGACAGCTTCCATTACGTAGTTTGGGGAAGGGGGTTTGGGGGTATGGCTTTTACCATGAACTGCAAAAAGCAGCGTCTCGTTGAGATTTTCTTTTTATTGTTTGTGGTTTTGTTTCTTTTTAATCCCTTTGATTGCATATTACCTTCCTTGCCTGAAACCATCCCCCTAACCTAGCTTTCCTTCGCCCTAGCTGGAAAACCATGCTCAGCAGCCTTAAGCAATGAATAGATGAGTAGAGAATGTGGCTTCGACTGGGCTTATTAAAATGAATGTGTCCAGTGTTCACCTGAAAGACCAATAACTACAGATGGCAAAAGAAGCACGTTTCAATATTGGTCGTATACAGGGTGGTGGCAACAGAAAAACAAAAATTCAGAACTCTAACCATCAGCCACTATCTTTAGTTTGTGGCTGACTTACCAGACAGGGAGGTCACCAGAATATAGTAATCAACTCTACTATCGCCTCACCATTGAAGTCAAAAGAAACACCTTCTGTGGAGTTGTAAGACTGCAAGGATGATAAGTACCTTTCTTAGGGACCTCTCAGTGCCCTGGGGGGCTTATATAGCTGTGGAAACTGGGAACATCACATTTTCCATGGAGAATTCCTACCCCCCTGCTAGGGTAGGACTATTGGGTGTGGTTCACAGCCCAGCCGTCTTGTGGGACAGCCAAGCAAACTGAGTGCTCCAACCAATTCACATGGGGGGTCAGGAATTCTTCCAATCAGGTACTCTCTGGTGACACAGCCCCAGGATGCTGGCTGTCACTCAGTCACTTCCCCTGACCCCTCTGCTGAGCCCACGCCCTTTTCTGGAGCCCCATCCAGTGCCCCGCTGCTCAGACGCTCCCTTTTGTGCTGCTGGTTTCTACTCAAGTTCATGTAGGATGAAAGCTTTGGAAATGAGGTCTAAAAAATAATTTCTAATCAAGAGTATTATTTTTTAAACAGAACTGCCTTTTTCTATTCTTTATATAAACTATTGTGTTGGTCTAACAAGGCACTATTTTAATTTTTTTTTAATTTTTCTCCCAGAGCACTTAAAAGATGTTTTGTAAAGACTTTGCTGTAAAGATTTTGTAAGAAAATGGTCTAAGGGCTCCTTCTCCAACATTACCATTTAAAAAAAAATGTTTTAAAGGCTAGAAAACAACTTATGTATATTCTGTATATGTATAGCAGCACATTTCATTTATGGAAATATGTTCTCAGAATATTTATTTACTAATATATTTATCTTAAGCCATGTCTTATGTTGAAAGTGTGACATTGTTGGAATAATCATTGAAAATGACTAACATGAGGCCCTGTAAATACATGATAATTGCACACAGATTTTACATTTTTGCCGACCAAAAAAAATGATTTAAAACAAGTTGTAGTCTTCTATGGTTTTGTAACAAATTGTACAAATGACTGTAAAAAAATACAATTTTATCAAGTACCTGTTGGTATGTCATCATTACTGTCTGGTAAAGGCCCACACACTCCGCAGTGGAGAGCTCTGCATGGTGCCTTACAACTGCAGCTCACCCGTGGGAGCCGCTCTGTGACTTCCTCTCGGGGTGACAGAGAGGCCATGGTATTGGGGATTTAGATGGCGTCACGAGAGAACATCCAGTAGACAGTGTGTGGGATTATGCCCTTGAGGTGATGATAGTTTTTCTGCTCAGCCCTGTGTAGAGGGAGGGACATGGCAATCAATCCTAGCAGTCCGCCTTTTAAAAATTGGGAACAGCCCTGCATAGTGTGGCTCAGTGAGTTTGGTGTTGTCTGGAAAGTCTAAAGGTCACCGGTTTGATTCCCAGGCAGGGCGCATGCCTGGGTTGTGGGTTTGGTCCCGTGTTGGGGCAGGTTGAGAGGCAACTGATATTTCACTCGCACACAGATGTTTATTGTCCTTTCTCCCTCCCTTCCCCTCTTCTAAAATAAATCAATAAAATCTCTTTAAAACGATAATAAAATTGAGAACATAGGCTGGTCATAAAACCATCAGCTTCGTCTGCTAGGACTTTTCCTACCTGGAGGACTGAGAGACCCTTAAACTTAAGGGAAAGGGGCTTATAGGAGGGAAAAAAAGCCCCAAGTATCTAGGCCTGGAGATCACCTGCTCAGGGGAGTGGAGGGGGACCGCCCTCAGTCTGAAATGAGTCTTGTACTTACCCAGTTGTGTTCCCCGAGAGGGTAGTTACTGATCTGCAAAGCACTCTGAGATAACATGCAAGATGCAAAGTGGTGTTTATTTTCCAGATATCTAGCAGAGAATATCCTAATCCTGTGAGTCCATTTCTAGTTCTCCCTCTTCAACTTGGGCACAGGCTCCTGGTCGCCCTCCAGCCGCATCCTGCCTGGCGCCGGGTCCTGAGCACCGTCGGGCACGGCAGCCTGGCTGCACAGAGCCTCCCAGAGCTTCTGTTTGATGGCCTTGCCCAGCTCCAAGCTGTACCTCTTGGGGGTCCCTGAAGGATTCCACAGCATCGGCTCCACCACGGCGTGGTACAGGGCCCGGTAGCCCTCTGTGGGGAGGCCGTGGATGGTTAGCATGTCGGGAAACTGCTGTCCCTTTCTGGCCTCAGGAAGCAGCGCCTGGCCCTTCCAGGCCGCTGTTCCGATGTCCCTGCTTAGTGCTTGGGTGGCAGCCACATGTTCAGCATATCTGTGCTCAAGATCTTGGCTGACTGTTCCTTTTTTCTCCTTTGAACTTTCTTTACTCTAGCCAGGAAGAAAGCGGAGAAGTCAAAGCTAAAACTTGAGAAGGGAGCTCAGAATAATTATCTGGGATTTGTGTCCCAGAGTCTTGGTTACAGCCACAACCAACATTTGTCTAGCGTGTGCTAGTTCACTGAATTCCCTCATATGCACCCCTGCCTGCGTTCCCCATAACCCTGCTGCAAGGTCAGCGGGAGACGGCTTTAAAGGCAAGGGAACTGGAATCGGTTTATCCAAGGCCACACAACGAGAAAGTTAATGACCGCAGTTGTCATCCATTGAATGCCACACAGGATCCTGAGCATCTAGTCTGTGCCAGGCTGTGTTCAAAAGCCCTTTGCGTGTATTTACTCATTTAATCCACATGAAACCTTATGAAGGAAAGGCTGGTATCCCCCATTTTATAAATGACCAAAAAATCAAGGCCAAAAAAGGCTAAGCCCACCATTGTCCTTAATTATAGTCAAAGCCAGGATTTGAACCCGACATCCTAGCTCCAGGGTGCATGCTGAGCCCTGCTGGCCAAGGTGAGAGAAGGAGCTGGCCTCAGACAGGGCCCCCCAGTTGCCAGGTTCTCCACGTGGGGGTTCACATCGCCTCTGCTGGCCCAGCATGAGTTGCCTGCCTGCTCTAGCCTATCCCGCCCTTCCCCACCCTTATTTCCCTTCAATCAAGTTCCTGCCATCTGTGTTTATGAAAGCCACCCCATCCTCCTGTAGTACTAGGTGGGGCATAAATAATCTGCCCCAAGACCTGGTGCTCTCACCCCCACTCCCCACAATCCTGTCTTCAGCTTTAGCATTTCTTTCGCTTCCTATAAATCTCTCAAGCCTGAAGCGTTCTCTAGCTAACATCCCCCTCTTCCCACCCACCACATCTATTCCACCACCAGCCATCGTGTACCTCGTTGGCACTCCCCGCAGGCCTCCTGCGCCTGGGTGAGCCCGGCTGCTGCCCCAGGGGCTGCTTGCTCCTGGAACTGATGGAGTTTCTCATCCCGCCCCGCCGAGTGGCTTTGCCTGCCGAATCGTCCTCGGGCTTTAATCTCTTTGAGGGTTTTGCTTCTCCAGTGTTGCCCGGTACTGAACAGCATTTCTCCTTCAGTTGTCGCCGGAGCACCAGCTTAACCAGGGAGAGTGAGCTGGCAATGAATGGGTTCTTCACCACTTCCCAGGAGGAGGTGGTACCTGGTGCTGGGGCCTTGATGTCCTGCTTTGCACATGCTCTGGCCATCCAGATGTTGGTGAGAGCGGGCGAGTCCACATAGCAGTCCTGCAGCCTGCTGTTCAGTGAGATCGACTGTCGGAGTCCATAAGTGGGGATGCTGGGGTCTCGCCTCACCCAGATCGGATGCTAGAATTAGAAGGAGGGGGAGGAGGAACAAAGGGAAAGACTAGTTCTCAAGCAGAGACCAGCTGGTCTAGTTTTGAGGCACAGTACTAACATCTTTTTGGAGTCCATCTCTTCCACACCCATCCCAGAAATCTCCCTACACATCCCCTCCCCTGCTCACCAAAGCCTTTCTACCAAGGCCACAGTGGTATCGGGCCAGAGGTGGAGGGTCAGGGAACTTGACAAGGAATCAAAGACAATTCCTGTCAGCTGGAAAGCAAAGTGGGCCCGTGGCGGGAAGAGGACGGGAGATGGGATCACTCGAGAGTCCTACAGAAGCCATGGTCACTCCTCAGCCATGCTGCCTCACAGAAACGACGGCAGGTGCAGGCCGGCCGAACCCTGAGTACCCTTTCCAACCAGACTGCCACGAGCCAGGAAAAGCTGCTCAGCAGGAGAACACACTCTGGGGTCGGTCCATAAAGGCAAAAGCACAGCGTAAATGATGCTGGCCTCCATTTCCTGGGAGCAGCCAACAAGGGCAGGACAATCTGGATAAATCAGAATCACATCTTTACAGAGACCTGGCCTCCTAAGAAATGCTATCTGTAAAAAATGAAATCACCTTACCATATTTCGGTTGCCTTTAATTTTATTTTAGCTAGCTTAGTAGGGGGAAGAAATATGTCTTTTCCTTTTCTCTCTCTCTCTGTCTTTTTTGTTTTGTTTTAATATTTCTAGTCACCTACCTTTCTCTGCCTCGGTCACATATGAGCAGTTTTGAACCATTATCTCTGGTATTTGTGATGTCACTGTGTTTTGTGATGTGGGTGGGTGTAGGTAAGTGTTACATCATTGAATTTTAGAGTTAAATTATGCTGGGAGAAGTTCTGTTTTGTTGTGTTCACAGCCTCAAAAACTTTTGAAGTCATTCCTTCCCCCAGAATGGCTTGGATGAATTTTGAAGTTCCTACCATTCTTAAGAAGGATGCCTTGCATGCCACATAGTCCAATATGCAGACCAGATTTGCGGGTACAGGTAGCGAGATGCATTCTTACACGTGCAAAAGTGCCCTTCTTCGTGCACATAAAGAAGTTACTGTTAAGTTCTCAGACTAGCTGCCAAGGTTAGGGACCAGAAATGAAAGAACACGTTCCTGCAGCCCTGGGCACCTCTCCCTTCGTGTCCCCCCCCCCACCCCGCCCCAAGACTATACGGTTTCTGGAATGTGGTTTTATTTTACATCCCATGGCAAATGCAGTAATTAGAGCTGTTAGCAGTGTCAAGGGCTTGAAACAAGAACAAAGACACGTCTTCCTGGGAACTCTTGGGCAATGCCTAGCTCCTTATCAGGTGCTTGTCCCGTTGGTGGTTTTGATTTTTCATCCGCAAAATGCCAAAGGAGGCTTCCTCCCGAGGGGGAGGAGAGCGAAACGATGGAAAAACAGAGTATGCGTCTGGCAGGCGTTCCTGGAATCGCATGTGTTGCCTGTTTGATTTTTTCGAGTGTTGTCCCTGGAGTGAATCAAAGTCTGCAGGCAGACCGCACTGCAGGCCGTGGTAGAACCACCTCCAGGCCGACGGCATCTGGACCCACAGATGCTCCGGAGGACAATGGGGCTCATTCAGCACTGAGCCCTGGCCTCACCTCCACGGAGGTGGGTCAGTTTCAGAGCAGGGCGTTGGAAAGGGTTTGTCTTTGGGAAGGTTTGCAAACGTCTGGAGGCTGGGTAGGCAAGCATCCGTTCACAGCCGGTGAATCCCAGAGGGGTGGCGTTAGGCTCTTGGGCTGCTGTCTCCCTGCACACCGCCTGGCCGGGAGAGAGGGCAAAAGTCGGGACGGGAAAGGCATCCTGGGAGTAGCTCTCCCGTTTCCCTTCTCGCCTTCCCACACATCCTTGGACCAGACACTCAGCTGGTATATTTACTTTCCTAGGCCTTTCGCTCAGGGACCAAGCGACGGGGCCCTGGCTCTGAGAAACACTCTGAATCTACTCCTTCTGTTCACATGGATGGTGGCTGATGCCTATGCTTCAAGTTCCATCACACTGTGCCTTCCGACCCATCAACTGACTGTACCCCAGCAAGACGCCTTCACGTTCCTCACAACTAACCCAGCGCACTTTGGCCTGTTTCTCCAGGGTCAGGAAAATTTGTATCTATTGAATGCTTATTATAGGCCGAGCACTGTTTTAGACAATTACGAGTATCATCTCATGGAATGACACCCACAGTCTTATGAGTTTGGGTACTGTTGCCATCCCTGCCCCACAGATGAAGAAACGGAGGCACAAGTTGCTCAAGAACGAAGCCCCAAAGCTGGTAGCCAACAAAGACTGGCTGCCGCCCAGGTGCACGCCACCCCACGCTTGTTCTCACCGTGCTCTTCCCCTCAGTGACAAAACCCTGCATTTGACGGGGATTTCATCCCGGGCCCTCGTGCACACCCATCGGGATTACGAGGCCATGCAGTGAGCTTCTTGAAGGATTCTGATCTGACTTGAGTACCTCAGCATTTCTTTTCCTATGGTCCATCTTCACTAAGCCTTTGTCAGATTCATCTGCTTCACAGAAAGTGCATGACCCCTGGCGTGGGAGTGGTTCGGAACGTCCCACGCTTCATTAGTCAGAAAGGGAGACAGGTACCTGGGGTTACCCCGAGGAAAGTGACTAGTCTTTAACCGAGGTTGCTCTGTCAAAGGCTGTTCGGAATTACAAAGTCGGGATGGAAAGACTCTCTTTGGTTCAGGATCCTGAAACCGTGGCAAGAGTTTCCGTCGCTGGCGCCAGCACTTGATTCATGAACCTGGGGTTGAGGCAGTAGGGCTTCCATGTTACTCAAAGGCCTGTTCCTCAGTTGGATTCACTGCCGAACCTTTTTTATTCTTCTGAGCTCAGGCTAAATAACTTTAATTTCCCGCCCGTCATTTGGAGCTGTGCTTCCTGACATCTCTAAACCACCACTTCTATTTGGAAACACATCTGCCCTTCTTTGATGCTTAGCCAAACTCTCCTCACTGTATTTTTAGCTCCTATAAAGTTTCTTCTTTCTTTTTTCCTTTCCTACAACCTTTCTCCTCTTTAATTTCTCTTGGTTCTTCTTCTTCTTCTTGAGGATCAGTTAATAAAGAGGAAATTGAGCCAATTGGTATTAATTCTTTTCTCTTCCCTTCTTGCCCCACTTGCAAGTTCTAGTGGAGTTTAGTTGCTGTTAATCTTCTCAGAAGATGTTTTTTTCACACCCAAGCAGTAAACATCCACACCCACATGGGAACATAGCTGAGGCTAGTGATGTTGCAGGTTTAGGAAACAAGAGAAAAACTTTGGATGTGAGAATTTGAAAACATTCCTGAACAATGACGCAAGCTCTGAGGACCAGGGATTGAGACCATATGTGCTAATACCTATCGTGGGCCAAGTGTGTGAGACAAGGGTGCCCGCCCACCCTGCCACCCCCTTCCACCTGCCTGAGTTCTCAGATACGACCCCTTGAATGTGCCACAGACATCTCTAACTCACTAGGTTCAACCCGAATTCTCTCCCCCTTCACCCTCATCAGAACAAGCAAGTTACTGCTTCTCCTGACTCATCGCTAGTTGCCTGGCCCAGGAACCAGGGAGACAGGATCCGTGACAGCGCCCAGCTGAGTCGAGCCTGAGGCCAAAGGAAAATCAGGACTTAAGTCCTGTTTTTACTTAAAAATTTTATATTTGGTTCATCTTGAATTCTTTGCCATTCATTTAGATTTTTTAAAAGATTTTATTTATTTATTCATTCATTTATTTTTAGAGAGAGGGGAAGGGAGGGAGAAAGAGTAGGAGAGAAACATCCATGTGTGGTTGCCTCTCACGCACCCCCTACTGGGGACTTGACCCGAAATCCAGACGTGTGTCCTGACTAGGAATCAAACCGGTGACCTTTTGCTTCACAGTCCAGTGTTCAGTCCTGAGCCCCACCAGCCACGGCTGCTATCATCGTTATTATTATAATCAGGCCCCTCATCCAGTGCTCACAACAACCTGACAGCCCTGTGAGCAGAAATGACCCCAATTGGCGTTTCGAAGACACCAGGATCACCCAAACTCTACCAGCTGCGATCTCCCAGCTTCTTGACAAATCCTGCTGCCCACTGAGGAAACAAAGGGTCCAAATGCAGAACACAAGAGGCAGACAAGCAGCAACATCTTCCTAGAGGCCCATGGGCTACAATCAGTGTCCTCACTCTTTCCATGAAACAAAGCTGCTAACCGACCAAGGCATGCAAAGCACTGAAATGAATATCTTAGACTGCTCTTCACCAGGGGCCGGGACTACATAACTGAGCAAAAGACCTTGAGCCATTAAGTGCCCTGACCTAGACTGGCTCAGCTGTATTTTTAGCCTCTGTGCACTGTTTCCATCACCTGCGCTGGGCTTTAAGCTAGAAGAGAGGGGAGGGAGGCCTGGGGAAGGCATGAGGGATGTTTCCCACAGCAGCCAGTGGGGGCAGGGGCTTGCACACTGTGTCTGAGTTCTGTGATACAAACCTGCTTCACGGGCCTGCAACCTGCGTAGTGACACAGGCACCCAGACTTGAAAGGACCTCACTTGGTTCAATGACCTGTGTTTGCCATCTTAAAATTCTTAATCATTTTAAATGAGGGGCCCCCACATTTTCATTTCTCGCTGGGCCCTGCAAGTCACGTAGCCCATTCTGGGTGTACACAGGCCCAGAGGGCCAAGTGAAGGAGTAGGGCTGGTACCCACCCAGCAGGCGTGCCTTCCTGCAGGGGTGCAGGACAGGCCACGGCTACTATCACAAGGCACGAATCCCCAGACTTTGCAAGGAAAAACTTATTTGGAACCTCCCATCTGCCCCTTCCTCAAATACTGGGAAGAGATGCAAAAGAGCCTGGTACATTGTTGAGAGCCAGATCCTGCTTTGCTAAAAATTTTCCCCAGCTACGTATTTCAAACAGTCCAACAGATCATTCTCTGTCAATACCATTTTCTTGTCTTTGCGGTACTTTGTGCTCTCTGAAATTCACGTTATTTCCATGGGGCTCAGCCAGCCCTCTCATCTAGGTTAGAATGTAAGGTTGTGCTTTTTCTGCTGTTGGCGTGTTCCTTGCTGAATTTTTTAAAAGATTTTATTTATCTTTAGACGGGAAGAGAAGGAGAGAGGGAGCGAAACATCGATGTATGGTTGCCTCTAGTGCGTCCCAGGGAACTGACCTGCAACCCAGGCATGCTCCCTGACTGGGAATCGAACTGCGATCCTCTGGTTCGCAGGTCCCCCCACCCCTTTTTTTTTTTTTTTTAAATATTTTTATTTTTTTTATTTTAAAAAAAAAAAGCTCAATCCACTGAGCTACACCAGCCAGGGCTGAATTTTTTAATTATTAAATTTATTGCAGTAACATTGACTAAAAACATACATTTCAGGTGCACCACATTATATTTCCATATCTGTATACTCAATTGTGTGCTCACCACCCAAAGTCTACGTCGTCCTGCCGCTGCCTCTCACAGAATATTCATTGAGTGGAGGGAGGTTTACCCTTACTGAGTGCTTACTCTTTGCTGACGGTTTCACCTGCAACTTCTCATTTCACGCTCCTTCTGTGTGCCCCACCTGCGCCTGCTGCCAGGGCACAAGGGAGAGGAAAAGAGTTCCAGGTCTTACCAGGGGAGGAGGTTTGGGATGTGGGAAGGGTCCAAAATGGTGGAGAAGAAAGGGTGAGTGAGCGTCAGGTGGGAAGTGGAGGGTGTGTCTTCAGGGACCAGGTGTCGCTTGGCCGGGGGTGTCCCCGCCGGCTCCAATAAAAAGCCCAGAGGATTCTTGAATTCGGGAAGGATATCGTGAAAACAATGCCTGGACAAGATTCTTCTTGCCGCAGCTCTGGGTCCTGTGGGTGGAGAGGGACGGAGATTGAGAGCCCTCTTGGGAGGTAGCTGCGCCTTTGAGGCCCAGCCCTGGGAACAGCTTGGGGGGAGGCGGACCCTGGGAGTGGGCGAGGGGGCATAGAGGCCGGTGCACCAAAGGCGGGCCGGGACCGGTCCAGACCCACTCTGGGCGCGGCGAGTCGGCACACAAGGGCAGATGTTCTCGCCGCCGCGCTGGGCGCAGGCCCGCACTTGCAAGTCCGGGACCAGGGACTTGAAAGGGCCCGGCGCGCCGCCCAGACCTGCCTCTCGGGGCGTCACCGCGGCGCTTTCGGCGGGAGCCCAAGGAAAATCTCCTCTGCCTGGGGGAGTGGGGAAGAGGGAGGCCCACCGCAGACCCCGAATGCAGCTGGGGAAACGGGGGGGGGGGGGGGGGAGCGGGAAGGGCAAAGGCCTCTCATAGGGGGGCCGAGAGTTAAAGGAAGCCTGCGCTCTCTGAAAGCATCATGACCCCATCCACTTCTGGACTGTCTCTATGTGAGGCGCTTTATTTGCTTCCATGTCACCTGATATTGTGAAGACCCTTTATGATTCCGGTTCTGCAGATGACTGAGGCTCAGACAGAGTAGGAAACTTGCTCCAGTTGACAAAGGATGTGCGACAGGATTCGGAACCGGGCTCGGTGTGCTGCCTCTGTGGCTGTAAGAATTGGGATGGAGAAAGGAACTCAACACTTTCCAAGCTCCTACTGAGTGCGTAAAAGTTTCCATACACTGCTTCGTTTAGCAGCACGGCTTTGGGAGTAGCTGCTGTCAAACGCCCCCATTTAACAGATGAGGACATTGAAATAAGGGAGCTGTTTTCTCTTTAAACGTGCTCAAGGCCTTAACAGGTGACCCAGGGGGATATGAACCAAGACAGGCTCACTCCAGATCACCCTTCAACCACCACGATGAGCCACGCGGTTTTCAAACTGCTGTCCTGATTATTATCCCTGCGGTTGAGCCCGCGCTTGGGTCACGACCCGAGTGAGGGTGGAGCAGGGGGTCACTAGGCGCCAAGCCGCCTCCACCTCGGGCCTAACCCTCCCTTGGGGACTCGAAGGCGGGGTCCCAAACTCCCCGCCCCTCACCTGCTGGCCCCGCCCTCGGATAGGACCAATAAAATGCTCCGCGGGGGGCGGGCTCAGGTGAGGAGGGGGGATGTGGGCGGGGCCAGGCGCGTGAGTGGCAGGCGCGGCGCGCGGGTGGGGTCGAGCGGGCGCGCGCAGTAGGCTCCGCCTCTCCGGCCTCGTTGGGCGGCGGGGAGGCCCCGGGGCGGCCCGAGCGGCGGCGGCGGCGCTGGGAGGGCGGGCCGGGGCGGGGCGGCCGGGCGGCCGGGGCGGGGCCACGTCCCAGCCCCGCGTCCCGCTCCGATGGCCGCCCCCGGCTCCCTGCGCTGCCCCCTCTCCCCCGGGCCGCGCCCCGGGGCCCCGCACTGACGGCCCATGGCGCCGCCCGCCGCCCGCCTCGCCCTGCTCTCCGCCGCGGCGCTCACGCTGGCGGTCCGGCCCGCACCCAGCCCCGGTCTCGGCCCCCGACCCGGTGAGTGAGTGACCCCCGACGCCGGCCCAGTGCAGAGCGGGCCCGCGGGGCCCGCCGGGGGGTCCCCATCACCTCGCCACCGCCTTCCGGGACTCCTTCCCCAAGTCCCTCGGCGACGCCCCCTCGGGCCGGGCCCGTTCCGCGCCCCAGGACTCGGGGCTCCGCACAGGCCCCTCGGCGACTCCCCTGGCCGGGTTGGTGCCCACCTGCCTCGGCACCTGGGAGCCCTTCTCTGCTCAGAACCTCCCGAGCCCCCTTCGCCGGACGCCCCCGGGGCCGGCACATCTCGGTGTCGGGACTCCGGGTCCCTGCTCAAGTCTCTGAGCGCCTCCCCGGGGCAGGGATGCCCCTTCCGCTTCTGCACCTCCTGGGGTCGCGTCCTTAGGCCCCTCAGCGAAGCTCCCCGGTCCGGGCGCTCCCCCACCCCGCCTCGAGACGGCGCACCCCCTCCGCGAGCCCCACAGCGACGCCCCCGCGCCCCCTCCACCGCGGGGACCCCGGCGCCTCCTCGCCCAGGACGGCTGCGGAAGGCAGAGGAGCGGGCGCCCAGCCCCGCTGGCCCCACGCCGTAACTTCTGCCTGGCGAGGAAACGAGTTGACTTGCTCGCTCGGCAGAAGGCAGGTCCGGGTCCCGGGACGACCCGCTGTGCTCAGCTGGACCGCCCTCGCCCTACCTCTCGGGGCCGCTCTGAACTGCCCCTAGACTGGGTGCCGGCCCTGCTCGGAGAGAGGAAGGGATGAAGGCCGGAGTGATGGGGAACTTCTCCGCTACAGAGCTTCGGGTGCTTGTCCTGAGGGTGCGCACTGAGGCTGCGATACAGAGCCCCGTTCCCCGGGGAGCCCCGCCCTTTGAATAGGGTCTCCTGCTCCCAAGGCCAAGGCCAAAGCCAAGGCCAGGTCTTCCCGAGTAGGAGCCCTGGACCAGGATGGAAGCTGGGACTTTGCTTAGCTTCCATACACATCCTTCCTAGCAGCAGAACACTCCAGGTTCAAGACCAGGCAAAGAAGGCGTTGTCTGGCCCAGTTGTATTTCTTTGCAGGTCGTTTGGGTGTTGAGAATTGGGCTTTAGTGGAAAAGGAGGCAAGAGTTCATTGCTGTTTTGCCTGAGTATGAAGACCAACCTGTGGGTTCTCCACCCAAAGTCGCAAGCTGTGATGTCGAAAAGACAGGATTTTGCTGCTGAAAGAGAACTCAGAGTTGTGTTGTTTACTTACTGGCTTGAATCAGTGAGAAAGATAGGACTTGGTGTTGTCACTTACAGTGTTACTTCAGGCCATGCCTCCAGCTCTCTGAGCCTCACTTTCCTCCTCTGTAAAGGGGAGATGATGATAATTCCCTTGCAGGGTGTTGTGAAGATTTAATGATACACTGCAGGTACACACCCACACACAGAAGTCAGTCGATAAACATTTTAATAATACTTTTTATAGCGCTTCACAGTTCACCAAGTACTAGATACCTTATTTGCCCTGCGAATGCTCTGAACTTCCAGTCTGATTAATCCCTGTAAAAGGCAGAGCTTGGCTTTTGTTCAGTAGAAGGGGCTGGGGGGGGGGGGGCAGGGGGCGGGGGTGTCTCCAAGTACTTTAAATCTTTGGCGTAGGAAGTGGTTTCTGAGTGATTGGTGGTAGCCTTCTAGGGGACCTCTACAAAAACTTCTACACAAGTTTGATCACTTCTACTGTTTGCCGTATGTGAGGGATGAAGGAGGAACTTTCTGAGAGCCAGGATATGTCAACATAACTGTAACCTAGTAACCCCTTAGCACCACTTTGCCATCTGTGTGGTCAGGATTTAATGTCCTCTAAGGAGAGAGAGGTGCCGGTGGAAACGAACGGGTTCCCTTCTGCACAGGGCAGCGCAATAGCTCTGAAAAGTGTTCAGTGAGGCAACACTATGCTTCCACTTGTTGGAAGGTGGCATCCTTTCCCCAGGCACCTTTGCTTTGCTAGGAAGGGCCAAATGCAGGAACCCTAACATAGCTTGAACCTCAGATGTTGTGCGCTTCTATTTGGGGGTCTGAGGTGGGGACAAATAAATAACCATTGTGAAAGGGTACATGATAAATGGCCCCAAATCCCAATTCATTGAGCCTCGTCAGCTCCTTTTTTCCTATTATCCTGGTAAATCAGTGCTTTTCTGACTTTTCCTCTTTAGTTCCGGAAAGCAATTTTAAGAAGATATCATATGGTCTTAAACATCACAGCCCATCTAGAGTCTACCCACTAGTTTTTAAAATCCTGTCCAATTAGAAAAAAAAAGTTTTATTCCGAGGATATGCCAAAGTTGCCATTTTATATTTTTTGATACTATAATTTTCTCTAAAATTTTGTGGATGGAAAAAATTATTTCAGTACTTACATTCTGTACAATTTTGTAATATTTAAATTACTGGTGGTTTGCAATTTTGAATGCTGACTTTATAAAAACTGTTAGCTCACTCCCCGTCAATGCTACTTCTAATTACAGTGTGTAGCCATCCCCAAAGGCTCTCCCTTCTCCTCTCCATTCTTCCTTTAAGATTCTCTTCTTCCTTCACAACTGATAGGAGGAAGGTAGAGATTAATGGTGGAGGCTTGACTCCCTTTCCAGGCAGGAAAGCAGCCAGGGCCATGGATGGGGCTGATGGGTTTTTCAAAATGAGCTGCCGTCTGGAATTTATTGACCTGCAGGGAGAACCAAGAGGCGGGAAGAAGAGAAAAGCCTGGGTAGACTTGGGCTGTTTGAGTTTCCTGTCAAAGGCAAACCACCTGCTTGGATGTTTCATGACATTTGGCTGTCAGGTGCACAGAAACAGGGGTTCTCAACTCTGGTTACGTATGCCGTAAACAGCGCTTTATGGTTGGTGCTCATTCTCCTCTAACTCCTCATCCAGATAGAATTCATCCCCTTTGCCAACAGTGTATCTGGCCATAAAACCTATCCGTTCCGTTAACAGCACGAGAGCTTCATACTGTATAGAGAGCCCTGTCCTTCTTGGGGACTTCATTAATGTTCATCGGATTACCTGTATGCAGCATAGGGGCTGAGAGGAGTAAAGTGACTGACGTGCATGCCAGCCGCTTTTATGCTTTGACTATTTTAAGAAATGCAAAGCTGTCAAAACTCACCTGGTATCAAAGAAGCCTGGTCTTTATGTAAAAATTGGGTTTGGCGCCTAGACAAAGCTGTTTAATTTTGAGATATACAGTGAGGCCTTTTATAGATCTTAATGCAAAAAGTAGTTCCATTTAGTCTCAGTACAAATAGACAGCAAATTGGTGCACTTGATATAGGTATTGGTAAATGTGTATGATTTAGCCTAGTTGGATCAATAGCAGTTAATAATGAAGAAAAAATATATTGCTTTAAATAGTTTCATAATACAGATTAGAGGTTCTTGGTGATGGGCAATGTATCGACTTTAGTCTTGGATTTTGGGACCTATAATCCCATCTGAGGCTCTAGGCCAGGTGTTGGCAAATATTTTCATAAAGGGCCAAACTAAATAATTTGGGTTTGGGGAGCTGCACACCGGCTCTGATGCAGTGACTCAAGTCCCACTTTGCAGGGCGGAACAGCCCTGCACAGAATGGAAATGCACCGGCACGGCTGTGTTCTAATAAAACTTGGCGGACACTGAAATTTGAATTTCATGTCATTTTTAGGTCACACAAATTGTTCTTTTGATTGTTTTCAACCATTTGAAGGTTTAAAAACCATCCTTAACTTGAAAAATAACTAAATAAAATTTTTTTAAAATTTAAAAATAAAATAAAATGGACAAGAAAATACCAACAGAAACAAATTTCCTCCTCAACAATTCAATGCTATATTGTTTACTGATAGTAAAAATGGAACACAACTTTGGCCAGGGACGTTTTTCATACTTACTAATTAAAAACAACTATACCCCCCCCCCCCCCCCAAAAAAAAAACCATCCTTAGCTCACGGGCTATACAAAAACAGGCCCTGGGCCAGGTTCAGCCCCCAGGCTGTGCTTTGCCAAGTCCTGCGGTAGGTCCCTACGTATTGATCTTTTCACTGGTCTGGAAAGGTGACAGGGAGGTTTGACTTTGGTGAATGAATGAACCTTTTACTGTTAACCGACTTTAAAAGACATCTGGGAGAAATAATTAAAATGGTAAATTTTACGTTATGTGTAATTTACCAAAAATTTTTTCTAAAGATACACGTTGGGCAGAGGAAGTTCATGTGCATGTATGTGGGCCTTTAAAAAGACCTTTAAAAATGCTTTAAAAAGAAATTCAGTATGGCTCAGTGTTCACTACGTGAAGAAAATAGTGCCTGCCTTGGAACCGGCCTACGGTTCGTTCAGCTATGCAGATGTTGTGGGAACAAGCCGCTGAGAGGTCTGTTTCCCAGAGAAAAGGCCTAGGAGCAGGTGGCAGCAGCCCTGAGACTTAGAAAAGCAGCCAGGAAAAAAAGGAAGAAGAAAACAAACTTCGGTGACTTTCCTAAACAGTTGAATCTTATTTCCATGGTTCTATTGTCATTTTTAAAGTTCCCCTTAAAAAACAACAGTGTGCTTAGCCCAGCTGACTATTTTGTTTTAATTAAAACATTTTTGAAAAAACAGCATGAAACATTCAAACATACCAACTTGATTGTGTTTGTACTGTAGAACAGTTAATACAAAACACTTGAGAGAGGGCGGAAGTTTGGGTGTGTAGCTTTTTCTTTTCTGCGTCTCTGCCTCCTGAATAAGGACAGCAGAGGAGGAAGTGTATGTCTCCCTTGGGAAACTACCTGGACAGGTTTAGAAGTGAGATTTCCTCAAGGCCCTGTTCCTGGCTGTCTCACTCTGCAGGCCCCGAGAACAGTGCTTGACATTCCTTCCGTATTCTGTTAGACCTCGAGACTCCAGCTGGAACGTGGAAGTAGGAGTTTAGGAGGAAAAGCCTGTTTCTCTCTCTCTCTCTCTCTCTCTCTCTCTCTCTCTCTCTCTCTCTCTCTCTCTGTTGTCTTCAATGTCGTCGTATCAAGATAGCAGGACTT